GTATTATCAATAATTTATTACATTACATTATAATATATAGTATATGATTAAAAATAAAAATATAATTCATAATTCATTAACTACAAACAATTATAATACATATAATGCGTATTTTTGGCATTAGTTATTTCATCGTCGTAAATGTACGTATTTATTATAATTTTATGAAAATAAATAAAATTGATAATACAATGAGAAATGTCAAGGACGCGTTTTGAATAAAAAATGAATCCTGTCTTATTTATAATGGAAATTGTCGGTGCAGAAAATTAAATATGATTTTTTAATATCTACAAAAACGGCTGAAAGTTTTTTCTGGCAAACTGTGTTTCTGTTCCTGACGGTTATCAGTTTATCACTGTTATAACTTATGGCATTAATACAAGTATTATAAAAATGATGAATTTTATTACAAGTAAAAAAAATCATATTAAAAACCAATAAACGCTTAATTCGAATCTAAAGGAGATAAGATTCCATTAAAAATATTGTTGAAATTATGTTATCATTCTCTAATCTAACAAATATTTATTTATCGAGTCCCCTTCATGGCTTCATATGATAAATTTTCTATCAAATAAATTTTGAATTTAATAAAAATATAAATTGTAAGTACCTTCGATGAAGTTTTGATATAGATATCGATAACTATAACTGTATTAGCATTTTGATATGACATCTATTTGCTATTCTAAATTTATTTCAGTTTCTAAATTTCATTTTAAAGAAATACAATCATTTTTTTTTTTTTTTTTATATTAAGTCTTGGCGTCAAATGCCATTGGCGTTGGTTTACAATAGGTTACACATTACACATTATATATACAATTATTTACAGGTTATATACTATTTATAAGCTCGGACTTAATTATAAATGTTATCATATTACTAATATTGTCTGGGTGTAGGGCTTCTGATAAAATGTTGGATACACCTGCTTCCCGTTTGTCCGTTTCGTATATGCGGCATTCGGATATGATGTGTTTGATTGTGAGAGGAATACCACAACATATAATCATTATAATGATTACTACAATGCACTTATTTGTTTTTAACATTGTATTTATGTAAGTTTAATATCATATTACGTTGATTACGTTTTTAATATTTACATTGTATTTTTATTATTGTGTGAGAAAAAACTTTTCCCGTTATATGATATCATACTTCAATTAAAAGTCTATAGTACTTTTTTACTCAAATAATTATAATATTATCATGACATTATTCATTCTAACGAACTCACATCATATACAACAGTAGCAAAAGTTTAAAAAAGTTTTATGCTGATGCTGTGTTCGACAAGACATAACGTTTTTGCAAATATATTCGTCAATGATTAGGTATCTATTATTGACTTTAGATTTTGAGCGGAGCGATGTGTGTAACGATCGTAATTTTTTTTTTATTTTACTGATGATAGGTATTCGAAATTTTTACCATGTAATATCGAAAACATACGAGTATAGTCTCGAATTTTTTTTATAAATATAGGGTAGTGTAGAATCGACAGGTTCTCTCACTGAACAAAGTGCAAGGTAAATTAATAACATTTTTAGTATAAATTAATATTAAAAGTTATGATATTTAGGTTAAAGTATAAGTAAACAACGTGTAAAGGGATTGAAGAAAAAACAAACAAATTTTTTAAAAAAAACGGAAAATATATTGATTTTGCAATGTCAATACAATGTATTACAATGTACTGTTTGGGCTATGGCGCATGTTTGAGCTTGAGATTGATGGACATGATAAATTAATAGTTCTGAAACAATAGAAAAAAATAAGTTCATAATTAATATAGTTTAATGTTAAAATAATAAACAATAATATTATACTTTTTACAGTTTTATAGTTCAACCTTTTTAACATTTTGCATAATATACTTTTAAGTTAAATTACATAACATAATTATAATGTTTTGTTAAAATTGAAATTTTTTGTTGTATTTATAATAGAATTAGTTATTTTTAAAAACAAGCTTATAAAGGTACATTTGATACATAGTATTTTTAATTAATTTAAAAGCCCACATTTTAAATTTATCATCTGTGAGATAAAATTTAAAATTTGACTTGATTCAATTAATTAATAATAAAACCAACAATTATGATAATAACTATCAATATTATAAAGTGCTTATAGTTTAAAATAAAATTAATATGCAAATATTAAAAATAATAACCATTAACCATACATTGTCATAATATAGACATGACAGTATAAATTAAAAATCGAAGTGATATAATTTATTGTCATTATTGAATAAATTATTGCAGATACTCACCATCAATTGGCTGGTGGCTGGGGAGGCTTTGGCGACGATCTTGGCGGCCTTAGCAGACTGCACTTGTCCGACGACGACGATGTTCATGGATACTTTTTCTGCGCCCATTTTTGATTTTTGGTTGGTTTTTGTTAAACGAAGTGAAGACTGCAAGAATAAATTTGCTCAATACTAAAACAATGCAAACGTACAATTATAATTTGTTATTTCGTACTTACCGACGAATAAAATTGCACTAATAATGTGTTATGCCGGAATCAAGCACTGAGACGCCTTTTTATGCACTCTCGATTGCCGCCGAAAGTGGGACGATATAGTGGCGTGATCGTTTAACAACAGTTCTCGCTTTTAGTGGTTGGCTAATAAGTCGATTAAGATAAACTTGCGTGAACGTATTTTTATGAAAATATTACTATTACACGGTTCTGCGGAGTAAATATGGTCTAACTTTATTTTTATAAACAAGATCAACAATAAATTATTATATTATTATATATGTATATAAATTATATAATATATAATATAATACACAATAATAAATTATTTAAACAATATTATTAAAAATATTTTTACAAGTGTTCGTATATTTTTTTAGTTTTTTTTTTCTGATTATGTTAAAAAGTGCCAAGCATTTTCAATTTTAATTATCTAAAAGTACCAACAAGATCCAATTTTCTACGAGAATCTTTTTATCGAAGTTGATGGTAGGCTAAATTTATTTTTTCAAAAAGTAAAGACATCATATTTTAAAATGTCATTGTGTGTACAAAAATATAAAATATAATATCTTCATGGTATTTAATTGTTATTTGTTTATTGTTACATAATATGTTTAGGTCATCGACTTATGATACCGATCTTTGAATTGTTTCGGCGTATAGTTACACATTACCATAAAATTAATCAAAATATTTTCAAAACGTTTAGGTACGTAAAAAATATAAAAATTTACTTAAAAATTTAAAATCCATAAGATAAATATTTTTGAATAGCAACAAAGTAACGAAAGTCGTATTTTTTCGTTTAAAAATGTAATTTGAACTTTTTTTTTATTATTATTTTACAATTTGATGTACACAATCTGTACAACGTAGCACAATAAAATATATATGTGACATTATAATAGTAACATGAATATTTTGAATTAATAAATCACCAATTGGTGACACTTGGCTGGGAATTAACGATATTTAGAATCTAGAACGTCAAGTGTGTTTTAGATTCTGAGCGGAGCGAGGAATGTATTGGTTTTACAATGATGTTTATTTCTTTTTCTTTTTCTTTTTACTCTGTAAAAACTTTTTCTCCCTCTAAACTTACTCAAAAGTTTCAAGTGTAACATTTTTCTGAAAAGTAATATTCTTGAGCTGGTACTTTAGAGAGGTCATTTTTCGATTTTCGAAACTGTACTCGAAATAAAAGCGGTTAAAAGAGAAAAAATGTACGATTTCACGATTTTTTTAATATTAAATAATAATTTCGGACGACGGTTTTTACCAGAAATATTGCTTCAAATAAAAAATGACAAGAGATATTTTTTGTTGTATTTTGGATTTTGTTCCTTACGGTTTAAAGCTTTAGCCAATTTTGTGCTATTTATAGACATTTTAATTTTTGGAGTTTTTTTGTTGTAATTCGGTTAAAAACATTCGTAAAAACTTGAAATTTGGTTTGTTTACTTCTATTAGCCTTGCCTACACTTTGTAAAATGTTCAAAATATTTGAGCGACTTTTGTCTTTTTAAATCTAAGATTTACGTAAGTTTCATCGGTGGGTGGCTTCTTCATTCAAAATTTCATTATATTGTCATTGTCATCAGCTCATACTCTTATTGTGCCGATTGCGTATAGATTGTGTATTTATTAATAAAGTAAAAAAAAAATCTAAGAATTGAAATTTTTTAATAATCTATAATATATCCTTGACGGATAAACCGTCTTTGCTCAGAATCGTTTTTCGTATAGAATGATATAATCTCACCTGTAACCTACTATACTGCGGAGCGACATTCACGACTTACCCGCTTTTTTTTTTTTATTTCAATTTTTATTATTATTTATAACAAGTCACGGCACCAGTTCTTTTTTAGACGACGTTCGGGGTTTCCCGGTATAGTTTGAGTATAGAGGCTCTTTATCAATGGATTTTGGTGGGATTCGTAGGCGATTATAAAAGCTTTTGTAGAAATCTACAGCTTCTTCTGTCACAGTTTTCATTGTGAGGTCTTTATGTAAGGCATAGTTCAACTATGATAGTTGGACACTAAAGGTGGAGCATTTGTAATTTTCCTAAGAGCTATACTCTGGAAATGTTGGATTTTGTTGGTATCAGATACTTTTGCAGCAGGTACCCCACAATTGAAGACCATAGGTTCACATTGGTTTTAGTAGTGTTTTATGCATATAATTTGAACCTAAAATAAATATTTAACAAAAATTGTGTTACTGTACCGTGTGTTCATCAATTTAGGGAACACTGAATCTCTCAGGCGGATTATGTTGGAATAAATGTAATTTTTTTTACAAGCTAGTGGTACATAAATACACATTTTCAGATAAATTTCAAATTTTTAACCCTCTCGCGGTAGTTCGGTACCCGCATGCGCAACGCAACTTATTTTTTTTTTTTTAATAGCAACCGAGTTTTTTGATTGGTACCAAATTCGGATAGACTGAATTTTTTTTTGAATCATTTTGACCAATTAACCATGGCTCTAAAACCAAAATTGACTGAATGAGAGCCATTCAAATTTTAATAAATAATACATTTTTACAAGTCATTATAAAATGTATAAAACCATTTATAATTATTTATTATTTTTTTTTATACATGTTATAAATAAGATTAACATAATATAGATATAAAATTATTTAATTAAAATTGATTACAACTGTATACGGAAAAATGAAAATAAATTATAAACGGTTTTATGCATTTTATAATGAATTGTAAAAATGTATTATTTATTAAAATTTGAATGGCTCTCATTCAGTCAATTTTGGTTTTAGAGCCATGGTTATCTGGTAAAAATGATTCAAAAAAATTCAGTCTATCCATATTTGGTATCAAAAATACCGGTTGCTATTAAAAAAAAATAAGTTACATTGCGCATGCGCGTATCGAGAAGGTTGAAAATTTGAAATTTATCTGAAAATAAAGTAGCTTGTAAAAAAAATTAAATTTATTCCTACATAATCCGGCCGAGAAATTCATTATTCCCTAAATTGGTGAACATACGGTTTATATGTATTTTTTTTTTACATTTTTTTTGTTTCAGCCTGAACTATTTCTAAGAAACTTAGCAGTATATATTTTAAGCCTAAGCTATAAACAATAAAAATGTTTACATTTTTAAACATAAAACAATTGCTAACATTTTTATATCAATATTTATGTAAAAAATAAAAACAAAAATGTTAATATTAAATACAGCTAAAATCAAAGTCAGAATATTTTGAAAACTATACTTGTATAAAAAATATTTATATTAACATCTGTCAATTTTTCATATATCAACGATTATTCGTTTTGTAAATATTATAACAGATGAGGATATCGGTTTTTTTAAAAAAAATGGTTTTGTATGAAAATTCAGATTATTTAAATATTTATTACTTTTTTGATTGTAGAAAAACAATTTTTCTTTAAAGCATCGTTAATACGTTTCAACAACTTGTCTATTAGGCAATGCTTTATATTATACATTTAAATTATTCAAATTAAATATTAGCTTAACAGTTTTAATAAAAATGAGTGTTTTTTTCACAGCTTATCTTAATTTCTTAACTTAATCATTCATTTAAGTGGGTACCTATAGTTTATTATTTTTTTTTTTTTATTGATCGCAAAAAATAACATCGACAGCAAAGGCCATTAGTTACAAAGAGGTTATTATACTAATTAAGTGCTAATAATAATAATAATTTTTTTTTTTTTTATTTAGTTTATTTATGTAACGAATTTGTAAAAAATATTTTTTTTACGGATCGTAATTTATAACGAAAAAATGTATACCTACGAAAATCGATCGTATACCTATGGAATATAAACAATTCGTACAAGTTGTTAGATTCTGAGCGGAGTGTTGGATGTATTTTATAAGTTAGGTTCATTATTTTAGTTGCGTATGATTTTGCGATAGGCAAGATTTCAATGGTTAAATTAGTTGAAATACATTAAAACTTTCGTCTTTGAAAAGCTTAATTATTACTTATAACCTTATACAGTAGCAAGCGTCGTACATTATTGTGCCATTTCACTTATATTTACTATAATATTTATGATATTTTGACATTTTGTGGGACAAAGTTTCACTTACGGCGTCTTAGGTTATAAATATAATTATTATTCGAACACTTTGCAAATATTACGCCACTAAGCCCTCTTACTTTTATAGCAGCAACCGCTAGTGAATCAATGATATTCGGGAACTTCGGTCCAGCTTAACACGGTTTTTAGTACCAATTTATTATTTGGTGAGTAAAAAATAAACCGGGAATTATCTCGACAATTACTCAGTGTTGTTTGAAGAGGGGAGAAGCAGATTGAGCGTTCATTTTGGTAAATCATTTTTATATATACCTATAATTATGATTCTAAGATTTTTTTACTTGTTGTGTAGCCACATGTGATGAACTGTTTCAATACTTATTCAAAACTATAATTATATGATAATGGTCAATATAGCAATTTCGAAAATTTATTTATTTTTCTTAAATTATTTTAAATATTTGATTTATTTTGTAAATTTTGATAGTAGTTATGCATAGTACTAGATTTTTCATCATCATAATTTTTTTATTTATTGTGAGTGGCTGCCAAATACTTAAATCATATAGATATTTATAATATTAAATAGTAATATAATTTAATATATTACAATATTGATTCTTAAATTTTTTGAATATTGTACGTCTTAGCAGTATAATTATGTACAAATGTTCAAACCACGTTTGACACAAATGTATTCTAGACCAGAGAAGAATACGCAAAACTTGTAAACGCTTTACTTGTACCTAAATAACGATAAACGCAAAAAAAGGCTAAAGATTTTAATAATTGTAAATAATATAAATTAGATTTTTTTTTTCAAATGCGGGACATGAAGCAGATAGGTATGAGGTTAATATATTATAAATAATCAACAAATATATTAGTTAAATACCGGAAGTGACTATTTTATTTCATGATGTCAGTATCAATAAGATTTACATAATAATTTATTGTTTGGTCTATGGCATTTTTGAGCTTGTGATGAATATTACAAGAATTAACAGTTCTGAAACAAAGAAAAAATATAATATTCAGTATAACAATGGTAACAATTTTTAACTTAATAATGTTCGTTTAAAAAAATTATAATTTGAATAAAAATATGTACACAATAAAATTAAATAAGTTTACTTATGTAATAAGTTTAAGCTTATTTTTAATTGATTTCTATTAGGTAAAATTTAAATATAATTAATAAACAAGAGTGGCCCTAAGTACCATTATATTACGTTTTACAATGCAAATTAATATAAGAGTATGAAAAATATTTGACATAAAAGGTTATAAAAATAATAAAAAATTTGAGTCTCACAGTTAATAGTTATTAATTCGTGTAAAATTGGTTATTTTTGATAATTAAACGGTACTTACTAAATATTCCTTTTTAGAGTTAATTTTTAAATTTTATAGGTAAAACACAATAACAAAAAAAAAAATATAATATTCATTATTAAAGGGAATCATCAAATAAAAAAACCATTTTATATGGAACTGTTTCGATAATACTAATGAAATTAAAAAATCGGTACATATAATTGCATAATATGAGGAAATTAAACAAACTTAAGCGTATGCTAAATAACAAATTAATATATTTATATTTCAAAAATGCTTTTGATTAAATTTTAAACACTCAATCAAAATTTAAAAAATATATATATATATCAAACTGTAATTTAAAGCTATGATATTATGTTACATAAAGAGCATTTAATAATTTAGTTTATAATATATTCACCATCAATTGGCTGGTGGTTGGGGTGGCCTTGGCGACAGCCTTGACTGCTTTGGCAGACTGGACTTGTCCAACGACGACGATGTTCATGGATACTTTTTCTGCGCCCATTTTGGATTTGTTGGTTGGTTTTTGAAGATTGATGTGAAAACTGTAAACGGAAAAAAATTGTTATTCGTTTGAAATCAAAATCTAATCATTGCTATTGTTTCGTACTCACCAAAGAATATATCTGCACAAAGATGAGTTATGCCGGAATCGAGATCATGTACGCCTTTATATACGCTTTTTTCGGACATCTGAAAGTGGGAAGGTGGCGTGGTGTGATCATTGAAAGATTGTGACGCTAGTCTGTTTGTCGACCAATCATGATGAGTAACAAATCGCACGTTTAATGTACACAGCTTTCGAATCTTATAATCATGATATTATGAGAAAAATATTTTTTTTTTTTTATAAATGTAATTGGAGTTTCACGCAGCATTCTATCGCACCCATTATAATTTAGGAATCAATTTGTTTAAATTAATATTTGTAATAACGCAAAAATAAAAGAAAAGAAAAAAGTAAGGAAAAGAGGGAGAGATATTGAAAATTAAATTAATAATAATAGGTAATATAATACAGCTAATAAATATAACTAAGGCTCCTGCCAATAGTTATATTAATTAGAGTAAGATATTAGAAATAAAATTAATAATAATAGGTAATATAATACAGCCAATAAATATAATTAAGCCTCCTGCCAATAGTTATATTTAGAGTTAGATATTAGAAATAAAATTAATAATAATGATATCAATATAATATTATTCAATATAGTAATGTAGTTATTTATTATTTATTTATGGGAGATGAATTGGTCTGAATAAATTGTAAGGCAAACACAAGGGACACAAGCCTTGAATGAATGCCTTAAATATATTTACAAGTTATTAATTATTTTTAGTTATCTTAACWTATGTCTTRTTGTTTTAAATTTGCGTAATTACCTTCCTCCTGATCGTCGGAGGGCTCTCGAGGTCGTGATTCGAGAACGATCAAGTATACCGATGATAACATTATTGGATATCAATTTATTAAATTATAATAATTTAATAAATAAAATGTGATACCTGTATATAACTGTAACTATATGAAAAAGGATGCACATGCACCTTACCTTATCCGTAGTTGTCTGAAAACGCAGTCGACGTAATAAGGACGAACAGAATTATTTTAAACACTCAGAAGGAAATAACGGAACACTGATTAATTTCGTCTTTTTTTTTATAAGGAAACGGCACAGTTGTCGCTCGCAGAATCTCGAGAGTGTGTGTTGGTTATCTGTGATGTGCTCCTGCACTGTTCTGTTCAAGTGGTGCTCGTGCACTGATGAGAGGAGACGATTTTGGTCAAGCCCGCCAGAGCCACCGGTGGCCCGATCAAAGGTGTCGGTGTCTCCAAAGAAAATTGTCTTATTCTTTGGCGACAGWGACCCTGACCTGAMCATCCCTTATCTCCGGCGGCACATGAAAGAAATTGCATGTGTTGCGCCGTACCGTTATAATCCCGTAYAGTGTCCTGTACGTGACTAGACAATGGGAATCGTTCCAATCATCAGTGACTTGATTTGTTGKGGTTTTTTAGAGTATATTACATGCGTGCGACAACTTTACCGTTATTTAATTTATTGCATGAAAATAACGAATTTACAATTTATTATGATATGTGAAAACGAGCATATCATTACATATTGCAGTCGTTTTTAAGTTGGTAAGTTTCTAAGTGTATACACTTTGCATAAATCTACCTATTTTAAAATACAGTTGCGTCAAGATAACTTGAATTCAAAGAGAGATACAAATTACTTCGAGATACCCAACTGGAATTTTACCTAACCTCGATGACAGAAAAAATTCAAACTGTCAATTTTTTTTCTAGTCATAGCGTTATCGTGACTAGGTTGAACTATTAGGATTTAGTATATTTCGAGTATAACAAGTTATACTACGAATAGGTTAAGTTTAACTTTAAGTATATTTTAAAGTTTTGTAAAACTTTTTTAAAAACCATTATTCTTAGAATATTATTTGATTTATGATTTACGGGAAAAACTTGGCTCATAATTTACCGTTCTTAACGATAGAAAATAAATCAATGTATTTTGAGTACCTATAGTAAAATATTCTTAAAATATCAGATTTTCAATCATTAAATGAGAAAATGTAGTGAGCATGCTTCATAAATCTCCTTTTGGGCAAAATATATTTTTTTTAAATGTGAAAATAATAATATTTGATTAATTAATATTCATACTGTGCGAACAGTTAGTTACTTTTTGTATCCTATGGTAACTAGTTTTGCATAAATGTATTTACTAGGTAATGTCAATTGATAGGTAATTAAATCGGTTAAATTTAAAGCAAGAATTTAAGTATATGTATTGGTAGGTACCTAAATACCTTACGTTGATCAGTAAATCTGAATAAGTAGAACMTAATATCCATGATGCCATCGTACCATCGTGTATCGGTGCACTAAGATTTTCTTTTCCCGGTAATATTATATATTTGCATAATGTGCAGGAAAAAAATATTTGATTTTCTTTGGCCTAAACAAAATGTATTTATGAGCCGATCTATAGTAATCTATACGAGTTAAAAGACAAATCATTATACATTGTCATATTCTTTAGGAATATTTGGTGCAAAATTTTGTAATCATTTGTACAGCAGTTTCCAAGTGTCATTCAAGTGTACATCAATTTGTATATAATATTATAATCGTTCTCTGTTGAATCTTTTTTATATTCATTGTATACGTCATAATAGTGTTGCATGTAATGTATTGTGTATGTGTATGCCATTAATTGGAGTAACTTTTGTTCACTAATACAATTATAATAACATAGTAATTCTCCGTCCTTACAAAATATCGACAAGACTATGAACGGAAGCATTAAAACAAAAATATTGTACCTGAATTGCCTATCTATCTCGCCGTGTTACTTATAATACTCGTAGTTTTACCACCAAAATCCAAAAGTAGGATAATATTAATACACATCAGAGCACAGTTTTCGCGTCGTGGTATTCCTAAAATAATATATTATCAAATTCCTATTATTATTGTGTTTATTCCATCCATGCCTTATACAGAATACAGATATCTACTAAGAAATATTATTATAATCGCACAGACTAAAAATTGAAAAGTCAGCCAGTTATTGGCGATTGAATGACAGCATGTTGTCGTTACTTGTCAAAACGACAATATTTATTACTGCGCAGGTATAGTGATATTTTATAGATAGAAATCACGTTTATACAACATACGGAAGATTCACTAAAATTGTTGAACCACAACAAAATAATAAGAATTTAAATGTCCTTGAAAAAATTGAGTTAATATTTTTCTTAGGTTTGGATATTATTAATTACTTTATATCAAAACAAAGTTGTGAAATTGTGATTTACACAAATATTGTGGACATTTGAAACTTAAAAGTATATATAATAATCATGCATAGGTATGTTAACTATTTTTAGATTTCTGTATGTATAGTACAATATGTGAGATCTTAAAATCATAAATTTCAAATTCTTTTAATGCCATTGTCATAGTTATTTTTATTGCAAGAACATAAAMATCAAAAATATATTTATAAGTTTATAGTATAAATAACTAAATAAGTATAATAGGTAAACATAATCTATTATTTTTTATTATTATTAGCTTTTAAGTTAACAACTAATATTGCTTAACTATTAAGGTACTTAAAACAACGTAGAAATATGAATACAATAAGAATAGCTGTTAAATATTTAGTACACAATATATAGCCTATTAATTATTTACTACAATTTCGTTATTAATATGTTTAACCAAAACATGATAAACTCATAGGTGTCATATTAATATCAAAATTAATATAGATAATATTATAATTTAATATCCTAGACTGACAAATCATCTCTGTTCAGAATCGTTTTTCGTATACAATGATACCTGTCATTGCAATCAAATTTAACACATCCATTATGGTGACCTATTCTCCATCTCTACTATACAGCAGAGCGATATCCTCTTGCCCACGTTTTTTCTTTTTTTTTTGTATATAAAAACAAAATAAATGCAATATTTATGAGTGTGAGATCAGTATTAAATGATTCAAATAAAGGATATTTKATTGGTTGTATTAAAAGTATAAATTACAACCATAATAATTTAAGATGTAATAAGTTTTTAGGAAACTATAATAAAATTGAAAAAAATTTATATGTTTGTAAGTTATAGGTATATACTCAAAAAGTATGTATACGATTGATTCCGGTTGTTGTTAAGTATACCAGAAAATGTTTGAGAGTAGTTTGAACCACGTTTTAAAATATATCAAATGCTAAGTTTAATCCGTGACTTCTCAGCCGATCTAAAACGAATTATTTAACCAATAGTAAGGTAAAAAGAAAAACCTACGCTGGTTTTCCTATGTACATAATATTATACTGTTTAGGGTTTAAGAAGAATATATTTAGTGGCTTGATGAGACGTGGTCGTATGCTCGACCTGTGGAAACGCGTACCGGCTGCAGTTACTATCTCCCGGATGGGTGACCACTCGGGATTTGCAGTAACATATCCTTTCACAAATTACACATATACAAACACGTGATATAATCCTACCAACTCAAAAAACCTACAAACAAACATTTACAAAAATAATCCCCACCGTACCACCCCACACCCAATGGCCTATGTTGCCGCGGATTCCCCTAAAAGAAAAAAAAAGAATATATTTATCAAAAATCTTTACTAGGTATCTACTGTTAGTTAACGGACAGATGGACATTCTATACTCATGTTTAAAAACATATTAACGTGAAACAAGCAAGAACATAAGTATTAATAGAAAATTAACATTTTATCATTTATTTTATTATTATTTGCTTTAGTGGTTTAAACCTATTTGGCTATTTATATCATGTAATAGGTTTTTTTTCGTTCAGCTTCGGTTACAGAGGCAATAATCAGTTTTAAATATTTTATATTTTACTAATTTATAGTTGAGGGGAGCTTTAAACTGTCTGTTAATGTCTCGATATATTAAGTAATTTTTTTTTATATTACAACAAAATAACTTAAACTGTCGTTATTTGTTTAAATATCCAATTTCGTCAAATTTTATAACTTGTAGGTATGTCTTTAAAAAAAAATGTATGGAATATTTTCTTTTGACTTTTAGATATTAGTATGAACTATTTATAAGTACATATTGTATTATGTTTTCAAGCTGTAGCTACAATGGTGTTTAAGTATATTGATTAATTTAATTGCTTTATGAAAAAATTATAAAGAACTCGTCATAAGACTGTATAGAAGAAAAAAATTTAAGCAGCTTAAAATTTGTTTAAATATATTTGAATTTTCAATGAATTGTAAAAATAATAATTTAAGTAGTAGTGTTAAGTGTTATTACAAGAGTCAACGATAGCCATTTTAACAATAATAACAATACATTTTATTTTCAAACATTTAACTAAAAAAAATCAGGAGCTTTGTAATGTTAAACTATATGTAGAAAATTCTAATTTGAACTCAAGTGAACATTGTATTAGTACATAATATATATCATATATTTATTTGTTTTTAACTTTAAACAAAACAGCAAAAATTAGTACCGATTTTGTCTATAACCATCATAATTATATTATGTAGGTAAATTATACATATTCCCGTTCATTGTAATATTTTATTTGGTTTTGCTGAATTTTCGAGAAAATCACAAGCATTATGTAGATTAATAATTTTATGCTTTGTACACGAACTATTTTATTGAAGTCGAAGAATGATTAAATTGAAAATCATGACGTTGCCTGACACACGAATCACGAATTACCTTGGAGCTCTCTATCAGCAAATAGCCAATTACGACCATTTGTTATCATCACGCCACCACGCTGCTCTACATTAAGTGAAAATCGACATTGTATATAAAAGGACGACTGATGCTTCATTCAGGCATAACGCAAAATTTGTGCAAATCTAATTCTCGGTAAGTATAAATGTATAATACTCTAGTCGAATATTAATATTACATTTTATTGAATTCAAATTGTTAACGATATTTTGTGTTGTTTGTCCGTGCATTTTTTTAGACTTAACTGTACTCCAAGAAACTAAACCGAAATACCAAAAATGGGCGCTGAAAAGGTAATCATGAACATCGTTGTCGTAGGACAAGTCCAATCTGCCAAGGCCATGAAAACCGTCGCCAAGGCCACACCAGCCACCAGCCAATTGATGGTGAGTTAATTATTATTATATTGTAAGTGCATAATTAAATTGTGGTCAGGCTTTTAAAAAAATTATGAAACGTTGATTATTAATTTTTAATTCATTCCGTCATTTTGGTGTTCTATACATATGCAGACTAGTATCTTATTTTGATTTTTACAACTTAGATATTACGAGTATATATTCAAAAATAATCTAATATTGCATTGCATATATTACAAAAATATGTAAAATTATGTTGGATATAGAAATCTATAAAAAATATATTGAAGTATAAATACTATTTCATAAAAATTTTTACCATCGACGAAATTAATTTCACATCTCCAAACAAATCAGTTCAGACTTAAGATCCAGCAAGGCATTACAAATTTAAATATAGTTTATAAAACAAAAATCCTAATTATATAAATGTTAAAGTTTAAATACATCATGTTTTACAGCATAAAATCTCATTTCTCCGGCCAATTAGTCCCGACTTTATTAATTCAGCAGCTGTTTAAAAATACATTTTATTAGCATTTCATGAAAATAATCAGAATAATAAGTTGTTTTGTGTTTTGTATTTTATAGTGCCTATAATATTGTGTTGAATAATATCTTCTATATGTAGGTAATATGACCTTTTTCGATAAATTATTTAAATATGTATATTTTCATAGGATATTTTGTTTTACTTTTTTAATATAAAAATATAATATTACATCTATTAATGTCCAATAAATAATGATCAAGTTTTTTATATATTTTTTCTATCAATAAAAATCAAAAAAGCAATAACTAATATAATAATATAACCATGTTATCATAATTTATTMATTTTATTTGTTTCAGAACTGTTGATTCATGAAGACATGAAGTCCACATCAATCTCAAACTAAAAAAATGCTATAGCCCAAACAGTACATAATTTTATAATATTTAGTTGATAATTATCATTATGTGTATTGAAATTGTATAATAAATCAATCACTTCCGTTAAAAAACTTGTTGGTTATTTATTTGTGGCATTTTATGTTTATAACATCGTTTACAATACACTGTTATTAAATTGATGAAAAAAAAAAAAAAAGAATGTGCAATAATTGAATAGACATTTTTTATATTGTTCTATATTAATATTAATAGTCACAAACATATTTGTATGTTGTTTTTCTACAAAACAAATATTCTTAACCTCAGACTATGACTGTGTAACTTGTCCATCATAACATTGTTTTGGATCATTAATACAGTGATGGTTTATTATTATTATTGAAGTATATATTTTTTCACCTTATATATTCACCCCTGATTTATCCCAAAGCTCTGTGTTATAAAATAAAACTTATTAATGTTTATTTGACTTGTTAAGAATATTTATTTATTCAAATACAAATAAATTAGTATACAAAAAGAATACAAATAGTTATACAATTTTGTATTTAAATTTTAAATTAATATGATGAGAAAAACTATAAACAATACCATAGAAATAGTAAAAATAATAGAAAAGTTACATAAAATCAAATGGAAATGCATTGCCAGCGACTATCAGGAGGTTAGCGAGGAAAATTAAAAAAGGGTGTCCCGCGAGGATTTATCCATTGCTATATCTCCTTAGATGATAAATATTTCATAAATAATTGTTTTTATTAACTTGCATAAACAAGGACTACATGTATTTTATTTTTTAATTTAATTCAATTTTTTGCTAAAAAAGTTTAAAAAAATTATTTTTTAATTTTGTAATTTTTGAAAAAAATAAAGATACCATTTTATTGAGTTTATTTTACTGAAAATGTTGACCTTTCAACATTTTATTTTCATTAATCTCGTGATTTTCGGGAGGAATACGATTCCGCACGTTTTTTTTTTTTTTTGAACACGATTCCGCACACTTAATTGTTCATAGGAATACAATAGGAATTGAGCGCAACGTTGTCAAATGTATTAAAAATTAAAATAAACATGATGTATCTGAATAAATCTAATTAGATTATCGTTCAGATATCAAATATTAATCAAAATATCATATTGACTAGGATGCTCAGTAAATTGTGGTATATATACCTAAAATATTATAGTTTCGCCTTCGCACCATACGATGTCCATTTGTCGTATATTTATTGTATATTGTTATCTTTATCGACTTTATCAAAAGACCCAAATTATCTTATTTTTAATTAGTTTGAACTTGAAATATCGTGGTAAAGAAGWAGAAAAGTTCAGGTGCCTAAATAATATACTAATTGTATCAATCTYACGTTACAAGAAAAAACGTGCGGAATCGTATTCCTCACGGCAACGTCGCAATCGAATACAATACAGCATTTGGGTAGAAAAAAAAGGTAATATCGAACAATGAACTTTCGGAATCGTGTTCTAACCTGATTTTCAATTATTTGTTTAGTTTCTGGATAAAACGGTGGAAAACTGGTTGTTATCCGGGTGGCGCGAGCCCACCTCTACGGATAATGGGTTTATCCTCACGGGACACCTGTATATTTTTTACTTGTAAATAGATGAAAAAATTGTTTTGCATCTCTGGTATTAAATAAGGATGTTTATTTTTAAATTAATTTGTGATAAAAATTCAAAATTTTAAATAGTTAACATAGGTGGCCAAGTTCTCGAATATTGATGATTTAACCAATAACCATATTTTGCCAAACGAATAATGTTCTAGTGCGTTCCAAACTGAATGCGTTACCAAAATAGCAAAATTGTAGATTTTAAAAAATGCAAACTTATTTTAATCTTTAAAATAAGACATAAGGTTTATTTTAGCATTAGCTTTAATCGGAAAAAGGTTACAAAAAAAAAAAATAATTATTTAAATAATATAGAGTATTTTGCATTGCAAAAATCAAAATAATAAATTTCTTCTCCATTAAAAATTACAATAGTACCTAACCTAACTAACAATATACCTAACAGCATAACTTTAAGTAACTCGCAATACATTGGAAACGTCTTAATTAATCACAAAATAAAGCTAAATACTCATCGATCTCGATATTAATCCAATATGGCAATATCACTCTATCATTTGGTGTTATGTGATTAATCTGATATCAATAAACTGATAACTTACAGCTGAGCTACTTAAGATTAAACGTTTGTGTTTTAGTTGGTCACGTTTAAGTCAAATCTAAAATTCCTGAACACTTGTCATTTATCTAAAATTCACGACCATATTTATTGAGATTAAAATAATTTAAAATAAATTATATTGTGATTCGTGCAGACATCAACAGGTGATAAAAAACCGCGAATTAGTATTATGGACTTTGGATGAGGTAAATAGTAAAAGAAAAAAAAACACAGTACACAGTTAAGTTTATCCGAAATTACTGTTTTATTTTGCGGTTGTCATTACTGATACGAATTACATATTATTGTACTGTTTGGGCTATGGCATTTTTGAGTTTTGCAATGTATGGACTACATGAGTTAACAGTTCTGAAACAAAGAAAAACAAAACAAAAAAAATTATGTAAATCAAAATTTATACTTTAATGGTAAAGATTATGAGATCATAAAACTATATAACAGTTTGCTGCCTATGTAGAATAATTCGATATAATTCAAACAACAAACCGTTCTTATGTTTAAAAATAATACAAAAAGTGCTAATGCCTACAACAATATAAATCTATTTATTTTTATTATAAACTGAATTAAACATCAACTAGGTTAACCAATAAAATAATATTATTGTATTGAGTATAAAATATTATCGTATTATGTTACTAAACACTTTTTTAGTAATTATAAAATATTCTTAAATCAAATAGAAAAATTCTTATTAAATGTATTATTATTATTTCAAGTTAATACGAAACCGTTTATAAATATTCACAAAATAACGTACGTACAGATATGATAACGTGTGATGATGTAATTAATATTAATTAATATTAAGTTCATTCGTTTAACCATTAAATATAAATAATTAATCATTATACGTTATCGTAAGTTAAATTGTTTGGTATTGGATTAAATGTTTTAAAAAACTGATTTTATCGTTTTATTTGAAGATTTAATTAATTAATTAAAATTTATAACAATCATAAACATAATTTAAGTCATTTAGTTCGTCAGATTTAAACAAAATATATTATATTTTTATACTTAGCATAAATTGTTGTTATTATATTTTTCAACTTATTTTGATTTTCTTAATATTTCAAATATTTTTTTGATTTTAAAATTGAAAAATATCTGAAATCTATCTAACTCACCATCAGTTGGCTGGTGGCTGGTGTGGCCTTGGCAACAGTCTTGGCGGCCTTGGCAGATTGAACTTGTCCGACAACGACGATGTTCATGGATACTTTTTCTGCGCCCATTTTTGGTTTTTGGTTGGTTTTTTAGGATTAAAGTGAAAACTGTAAATGGAAAAAAAAAATATTAATTTTGAAATCAATATAAAACAATTGCCGTCGTTTCGTTCATACCAAAGAATAAATCTGCACAAAAGAACGTGTTATGCCGGAATTGAGATCTCGGACGCCTTTATATACATTGCCGTCGGTTGATTTAAAGTGGGGCAGTGAAGTGGCGTGATCATTTTAATATTACAACGATTGTTTATTTACAAAACATTGAATACAAATCATACCACATAGGGGCACTGTTGTAAACAGTTCAAGAGGCCGCAGAACGTTTGAGCACATTGACCCAAAAGCCAACACGTTTGGATACAAAAAGATACAACGTTTAGACCAGTGGTTTCCAATTAGCGTTGAACCGCGGACCCATAGCTATTTTTATTTTTTTTTTTTTTTCATAACAAATCACGACACCACTTACGCTTTAGACGTCTGGGGTGATTACCTATTACCTGGTATGGTAGCGGAGGCCAATTTTTTGATAAGTGGATTCGAATGAACGTTTAGGTGGTTGAAGAATCTTTAACAGAAACATTTGGATTCCTCAGCTATTGTTTTTAGTTTTAGATCTGAATGAAGGTTGAGACGTAAGGAGGGGCATTCGTCAATAATTTCCTTAGAGCAATGTTTTAGAATGCTTGAATTTTATTAACGTTTGTTTTTTTTGCACTACCCCATAACTGCTGACCGTACGTCCACATTGGTTTTAGTAGACTTTTATATATGAGAAGTTTGGTGCACGTAGAGGTGTATTTATTATTGCATAATACCGTTTTTAGCATGCGTAGGATGCGTAGGCGATTATTTAGAGCTAGTCTTTTAGTTCTTATATGCTGAGACCCCTAGCTAAAACTTAAATTGGACGGTGGACCCTTTATTCGTGATCACTTACTTTTCAATTTTGTTTAATTATAAAAATGAAAAAAAAAATTATATATATATATACAATACATTAATTGTCGACCTTTTTAGCGATAATCGAGTTTCAATAGTGATTACGCAAAATACCTGGAATTTCAAACCAATACATGTTTAAAAATTCTACTAAAATAAAATAAAAATATCACTTCATTACTACATAACCACGGATCCCTTAACATCAACACGCGAACCTCCATAAGTCCACGGACAACCAATTAGGAACCACTGGTTTAGACACATAGAATAAAAGGTATTTTTTAATTTTATCCAATAAATCATAAAACTTATGGGTACACATATACCAGACACGTTTGGAAACATGTCATATAAGCGTCACCTAGCGTGTTACTCATTTACTGCTCGATAATTTACCTCCAAACCAATTAATATCAATTATATTATTTTAATTATCATATGATTATTATTTAAGTATTTAAGCGACTGCGCATGTATATGAATCTAATACTTGTTAATTAGACTATAATCTTTATTAAAACTTACATTTTGGATATATTAAAAAAATATAATTATATTTTATAATTAGTTTTAAAATGACAATAATAGGTATAAGAAAGTATCTGACACTATATGACATCAGTTCATATTTCGTCAGAAAAAAAATAAATGTTTGGTACTAAACGTTTGTACACAATCGTGGTATTTGTTTAAAAATATGATGTACCCGAAGGTAGTGTTGATTTTTGTGGTCTGAAGAAATGTGTATCTTAACGTGTGTTCCCAATTATTCTCTCAAAATCTAGGTAAAAATATCGTTTTGTGCCCAAACGTGTTACGTGTTCACAAGATTCTTATTTATTATTAAATTAAAATTTTTAAACCTACCCAGAAACATATGTAATGATATACTAGTTAATTACCATCAGCAATTATACGTAATAAAACAATTCATTATATACTATGTTAAAAATATTATTGTAATAAACACACGTACAAATTAATAAATTGAGTAAAATATGCCGTATAAAAATTTTTTTTTTTATGGACCATTTTTGATTTTATAACTTGACCATAAGTAGTTTAAAATATTTTATATTTTGTTTAAACTTTGTTACTTAATTCAGTAAAGGAAGTTTATATGCGCCTAGTTTGCTATTGAAATAATACATATCTAAGTTTTTATAAAATGTAAAATATAGGCAGGTACTTACACTTAAAATTCAAAATCATCGAACATGATCGAAAGATTAAATTAAAAATTAAAAACTAAATTACACTCAGTTAATGATATTCTCAATTATACTAAATTATCACGTGACATTGATATAATAATGATAAAAATAGTAATATATTAGCTTACTTCAGTGATATAATATATTCATGTTTATATATTTATTTTGTTATGTGACTTATTTAAGGATTTAAATAAAAATAAAAATGTTCAATTTCAATTTCACTTGTTGATATTTGTTTTTATGTTTAAAATTTAAAAAAATTACAAATTGATTTTAGAATTTTATTCTTTCTTTGTTAGTTGCGCAATTCGAATATTTATAATTTTTAACATATTTTTTCTTTGATTTAAAATATAAATTTAATATCTTTACAATTTTGATTTCTAACCATGTGAAACCAGTTGTCGTTTGATTAATTCATATTTGTCAATATGCACTGCTAATGAGCCTAAAAAATGAATAATATTATAGACCTATTTGGCTATTGCAGAGTTATAAATTTATATATATTTTTTTTTAATTTTAAAAGAAAAATTATTGAACGATTAATATTTTGGTATAAATAATAGGTTTATTTTTTTTCCGATTTCAATTTGAAATTTGAATACCATTACACAAATTGTTATATAATTTGATTTCAAAGTCGATTATTAAAGATGTTGATCGATATTTAAAATTGGATTATGAAATGGATTTATAATATTAGTTTGGATTAATGTTTGGTGGACTGTTTCCTAAAGGAATCTGTGTTATAAAGATTAAATAGATATTTCTAAGATTTAGGTTACTTCACGTGTATGTTGTTTGAAGTTTAACGAAATTACAGGAATATAAATCAATATTTGTCAAATATTTTGTGACATATTTTAGAAGACAATATTTAATTGTATTTGGTACATTCATACAATACAAGATTGACGTGTTTTCTGAGCAAAACAATGAAATTTAAGACTCGACGTCTTCTGACGTACGATATCAGTTACACGAATCACATTTAAGAGCTCTGATCACGCCACCACGCTTGAGTGACCTACACATTAGGCGGGAGCCGTCTTTGTATAAAAGGACGTACTGATGCTTCAGTCCGACATAACGCAACTTTTGTGCAAATATAATCTTCGGTAAGTATTAACCTGACGGAAAATAATATGTCTTCGGCTTAATTTAAATTATTCATACATATAATATATTTTTTTGTCTACCTCCAGATTTCACTCTAATCCTCAAAAAACCAACCAAAAATCAAAAATGGGTGCCGAAAAAGTAACCATGAACATCGTTGTTGTCGGACAAGTCCAATCTGCCAAGGCCATCAAACCGGTCGCCAAAGCCACCCCAGTCACCAGCCAATTGATGGTGAGTTAATTATTATGTGATTTTTTTTTTTCATTTCGAATAATAGTGTGATGGAATTTTTTTCCTATGCGTTTTGCAATTTTTTTCGATTTTATATTTCTCGTGTGTGATTTTTGACTAGGTATAGATTAATTATTAAATAATCAGTACGTTCGATTTTTGTTAAACACGTGCAATAAAAATATTTAAAATTTACTGTGTTTTATCACGATTAAAATATGATTATAACTATTAATTTTATTTCAATATTTTTATGTAAAATTATTCGTTAAATTTGATTTGGATAGGTTTTAAAATGATAAATAGATAAATTGGAGTGTGAGTTAATAATTGTGTGATTAATATTTTGTATACTTACGTAGATCGGCTTATTATCTACTGAATTTTTAACATAGTAAATAAATTAAACAATTGTTACAATTCATATTAATTGAGTCCCATGCATCATAAAAATAAAAATAAATATAATTTATTGTGTTTATTGTAATTAAATAATGAGGACTTGTATCATTTTTTTCAATATTTTATTGTTACATTAATTTATAAAATTTAATTAGGATTGATTTTATTTAATTAACTTATTTCATATAATTTCTAATTAATAACTATAACTTTCTAAAAAAATGTAATGCTTCGATTAAAATTTTGAAAATTTCGTGTACATACTTTATAATATTTTAATAATCGTTTTTGAAAATATTTTTCTTTTGTCATACTATATTATTATGTTCAAAATATTAATTTTGACTCAAGAAAAATTTAAATAGTTTTTCATACAAAAGTGATAATATTCAATCAGCATTGTAAAGTATTTGAGCAAAATTTTAATATATTCAAATACTTTTATAATTCTTTTTAATTTAAGTATTTTGAGGTATTTTATTATAGAACATAATTGTAACAATTTCAAAATAAAATAATTTTATTGTAAACACTTTTCAAAATTCAAAAGAATTATTAATTGACACATTTCAGATTGATTTTTACAGTTTTCATTTTAATATTGAATTCAAATTATTTATTACTTATTTATTTTCATATTTCGGGATAAAATAAAATAGGCAGTATAAAGTTTTTTTTTTTTTTTATTGAGCATGTTTACATCGACAACAAAGGCCATTAGTTACACTTATTTATACAGTAATTATATAATATAATATGTATTGATACAATGGAAAGTTATTAATTTGGATAAAACATTAGTATAAAGTTTATGAACACTTAAATAGACAAATGTGATATCTCAACTTTATGTTCATGATTAGTAATTATAAAAAAAATAATTTTTCCTGTTTTTACGGTTTAATAAAATAAATTAAAATTATATTCTTAGTATTTGTATTTATTCTTAAAACTTCAAAGTATTTGAAATGTGTTTTATATACTTTTTAAATCAGTGCATTGTTAGTATTTAATTATGATTTTAATAATATTTTTTACAGCATTGTAAGGTATTAAGACTTTTTAAACCCTGTTAGAATATATTAATTCTATTATACTTTTATATTTTAGCACATAGTATTGATTAATCAACTATTTTTTGTTTTGTTCCAGAACTGTTAATTCAAGTCCACATCAATCTCAAACTCAAAAATGTCATAGCACAAACAGTACTTAATTTCATAATTTGTTTCAAATTATAATAATATGTATTGACATTGCAAAATAAATCAGTCTCTTGGTCTCTTCCGTCTA